TTTCCGCCCCAATGAAGCTCGGAGCGAGTGCATTTGCCCATACAAATGTACCGATCCAAGTGCAGGCTAGACATGTACGTATTCTTTGTTGTCCGAAAAATCGTCCGAGCCTTGCGCTGCAGAGCGAGGAACTCACTTCTGCGCGTGGGACAGTGGAGCAGGCCCGTGATTTCCAGCGTGGAGGTGAGCTGCGCCCTCGGATTTCGAATTTCGGAGAGCTGGTCTTCGTTATCCGGCAGCCGGAGCACCTCTAGTGTTCCGCGCATACAAAGGGACGGCAGGCGAAATTGCGCTCTCCAGTCCTTATTGAGGAGTCGAATATTCCCGGAGTTCCTTTCCGCAGACGTACCCCGAAACGGTGCGCCTTCGCTTCGCCGTGCTTCGGCATGCTTCCGTCATGCGTCTGTCCCTCTCGCTGCTCCACGATAACGACCTCGTCTTTGACAGCGGAACAAGGAATACGGGTGCGCGCTTTCAAAAGGACTCGCCGTGTCGCTCTCGTCTGTCGCGTGCACACGGTGCACACGAGGAACCCGGAAAACTCGGCCAACTGGATGCAGAGTTGGGGGGGGGGGGGGGGCTGTTCACCCAACCTGCCGCCCGGCAAATCTCTCGCGCGGCCCGATTTTCCTTCCTGTCTATTTTCTGTATCGTCATAGTGGTGGGCAGACAATCCCCCAACTTTGTGCCCACCTGGCGCGTCCTGGCCGGTCTTTGGCGTTTCCCCCGTAACACGAACCGTTCCGGTTTTGCGTGTTTCGCGCGGCTCCCCGCGCGCTTCCGCCTGCAGGCCTGCCCTACCCGAAGTGCTCCGCTGCTCCGCATGGCCACCCCGAAGTGAGCGCGGCGCGTCCATTTTCTCCGCGAACAAGACGGAGGGAGGGGGAACCCTCCTGCGAGGCTTTCTCGCGGCGCCCCGCGGGCCGGCGAGGCGCACGGCGAGGCCCACGGCACACGCGGAGTCCAGGACATTCCAGGCATTCCTACAGTCTGTCTCAGGTCGGAACGAGCCTGGAGACGGTCGCGTTGTTGCAGCGGTAGTGCGGCTACCTGCTATTGAGGGTGGCAGCGGCCTGTGCCGAACCCCCGCTGCGAAGGGTCTGTCCCTTTTCATTTCAGAGGTGTTGCTGCAGTTGCTGAGGAGGCAAGTGAACCTCGCCAGGCTCGTTCCGACCTGAGACAGAGTGTAGACGCCGAGGACGAAGACGAAGAGGCCGCCGGTTGGCACGCCTGACGGCCAGACGGTCGGCCGGGTGAAGTGCTGCCAACGCGACAACGCGAGGGCACTGCCAGGCACTGCCAGGCACACTGCCCACTGCCGCCTCGTCGTCTCGCCGCATTCACCACTCTGCAAGAAGCGCACTCGTCCACATGCTCGGGTAAACCCCCGCCGGAATTTTCCCCGATATTTTCCCGTCTTCTAGAGGCCTCTCTCGGCATTCGCCGTCGCATGGCGTTCCCTTCGACTGAGGTTGCATGGTTGCATTACCCGGCGTGGTATTCAGGTCAGCCGCGCTGCGCCGTGCTGCGCCCCGGCCGCGGGGCCGCGTCGTGCATGCCGGCCGGCATGCCAGCGCTGCACCGCCAAGCGCGGCCAAGCGCCGCGGCCTGGACGTCCTGGACAGGCTCAACAAAGACGTCCTGGGGGAGGTCTTGGGCGAGGTCCTGGACGAGGTCCTGGACGAGGTCCTGGAGGAGGTCCTGACGAGGTCCTTCTTGACGAGGTCCTTTTGAACGAGGCCCTTCTGGCCGAAGCCCTAGATGCGACGCCCTGCCCGGCGTCCCGGACGACACTCTGCGGGCTCGGCCTGGGACTTGGAATGCCTTTTGGCTGCATCAGGCTCCTTTGGCATCCTTCTGCATCCTTTGGCGGGCAGTGGCAAGCAGTGCCAAGCTGGCAACAACGCGGCGCATTGAACGCCACTCGCCACGCGGCCCTCGCGGCCTCTCGCCGAGCCTCTCGCGGCCACGCCAGACAAGAGAAGCGTTTCTCCAGCTGCGCCCCGCGGCCCGCGACCGCCTCGAGAGGCTAGGATGAGTAGCGAGACTGGAATCCAGCGAGGGGAGGGGCGCGGGGGGCGCGGGGCTCTAGCCCGCGGCGCGCCGACCGCGACCGCGACGTCAAGCCGAGCCAGCCAAGCGAGCGTCTCGTTTCGTTTCGTTCTCCCGCTTCGCTCGCTCTCTGTTTTGCTCGCCGCTTTCCTCCAGCTCTGTTTTGCTCCGGCCATTCCAACATCCGAACCCCAGAGTCGTGCCGCGCGGGCCTGTGGAGGGGCCCAGCCCACCCACCTGCCCGCGCTTCTGAACGGAGTGGGGAGGAACTAGAAGAAATCTAAGGGATCCTTAGACATAGCACTATGGTTGACACCGAAGGGAGTATCAGGAACAGTTCGATTTACTAGCTAATGGCGCTTGGTTCAACTTTGAACCATCAAATTCTGCTTTCTTAATTTTGGACACATTAAAGCTTTCTAAGACTTTCAGAAGGCCCTGGAAGCTGAAGGCTGGAGGCTGGAGGCTGGACGCTGGAGGCTGGAGGCTGGTGGCTGGAGGCTGGAGGCTGGAGGCTGGAGGCTGGAGGCTGGAGGCTGGAGGCTGGAGGCTGGAGGCTGGAGGCTGGAGGCTGGAGGCTGGAGGCTGGAGGCTGGAGGCTGGAGGCTGGAGGCTGGAGCTGGAGGCTGGAGGCTGGTGGCTGGAGGCTGGGAGGCTGGAGGCTGGAGGCTGGAGGCTGGAGGCTTGAGGCTGGAGGCTTGAGGCTGGAGGCTGGAGGCTGGAAGGCGGGAGGCTGGAGGCTGGAGGCTGGAGGCTGGAGGCTGGAGGCTGGAGGCTGGAGGCTTGAGGCTGGAGGCTTGAGGCTGGAGGCTGGAGGCTGGAAGGCGGGAGGCTGGAGGCGGGAGGCTGGAGGCCTGGAGGCCGATGGCTGAATAGAAAGGCTGACGGCTGGAGGCAGTGACGGCTGTGGCAAGCTGCTGGTGGCGGCCAACAAGGCCAACAACCCGAGGGGCCCGAGGGTAATGCCTCGGCCTGACTCGTCTGCCTGTCTGCCTCCTGGCCCGCCACGCCGCCACGCTACGTCGCAGAGCGTGGCGGGAGCAGCGAGCGCTACATACAAGGCGCCCCGCGATGTGCGCGTGCGCGTGTGTGCGTGAGCTCCCAGAGCGGAAAGCGCTTCGGACGTCCGCGTCTTCGACAGACGGGCCGTGTCAGATACACTTACGCCGAGGAAAGGCCCCCTCGCATCCGCAGCATCCACGTGCCTCCGCACCCACCCCGCGACGCAACCAACCCCCTCCAGGACTTTGCTCGAGCTCAAGCAAGAAACACAGAAGAGTAGCCAGTGTTGTTTTCTTCAGTTTGGCCTCCGTTCGTCGGCCGAGAAAAGGAGCTCCCCAAACTAATGGACGGGCCCCTCGTCCGTCAGGCCGTCAGGCCGTCAGGCTAGTGACGCGCTGCTACGCGGCTACGCTGGTTGGCTGCCTGCCGGTCAACGTCCTGATTGCCTCCGTGACTGGTGCCACTAGTGCCTAGCTAGTGCCCCTGGTGCTGGAGGCTTTTCCCGTGTCGGCCCGCCGATCGGCCCTCGGCCCGCGGGCCTAGAGCGGGGCGTCGGGGCGTCGGGGCGGCGGACATCTTTTAATTTGGACGATCAGCCGCCGCTCGCTCGAGGCGGGAGACGTTTCAGGCGCGTCCAAGTCCCTGATGAGGCACTAAGTGACCGAGCCTCTCTCCCTCTCTCCGCTTCCCACGCCGCGGCCCCGCCCCGGCCCCGCCCCGGCCGCTCGGCAGCCCTAGGGCAGGCCGCCCAGCAGAGTACACCGAGTAAGCGCCCCCATTTACTTTGTAGGGCGAGGCCGGCCTCCCTGCTGCCGCCGCGCTGCCGCCACGCTGCTGGGACGGTACTTCCCGCCGCTATCGAACGGACCCCCCGCGAATGCAAAACGCCCCCCTGCCTGTGCATCGCGTCGCATCGCGTCGCATCGCGTACCTCTGAGCGGCTGGGGATGCTGCCACCCCGCTGCAGCCCCGCCCAGCACACCGAGCGGGCCCACGGATTGACTGGGGGCTGGCTGGGGCTTTTTGGTCTTACCAACGAGCCATCAAAAGCCAGTTTAGTCCAGTCCACTCACCGGACACTGAACCGCAGCCAGCTCGCCCTGCATGATGCCCCGAAGATGCGGGGCACCTCTCTGGTCTGGGGCTGGGTCTGCACAAGCCGAGCACGCGGAGCTAGCGCAGCCCGTTGGGTGGCCTGCCTGCCGGGCGGTGAAGTGAACTGCGCGTCCGATGGGCCGATGGGCCCGATGGGCGGCCTAGCCTGCCCGGCGAGGGGTGAGAGGCACTCGAAAGCCCATCGGCTCGACGCTCGCTGCACTGGCAGCACGCTGGCAGCGCGCTGGCAAGCACTCAAGCATACACTGTAACAGCAGTGGCTCCTCTCCTATCTCTCTGGAGCATCCATCAAATCGGTCAACGCGGATGGGAAATGGTGCTATAAGTGCTTCACGTGCACACAGTGATTTCGTCCCTCCGTTGGGCACACAGGGGTAGCGGAGCGGGAGCGGGGTGTGGTGCGGGCCTCGCCGTGGGCCTTACAGTGGTGGACGCGGCGCTCGACCGCTATCGCGATTCTACGGCAGGGACAGTGTAGCGGTAAGTTGGGGAAGAAAAGGTACGGGGTATGAAAGAAAAGTGTACACCCCCTGTAACATACTGCAGAGATCTCGACATCCGTTTTGCCAGGATTTCACACCCAGATTTTCGCATTTAGTTGAAGCTACTGGTGGTCGAATGGCTCTAAGTGAAGATGTCAGCTCCACAAGGGTGTACTTTTCTTACCCTGTGTTTTTCTTCTCAGCTTACCCTTTCACACACAGCAAAAACGAACGTTTGAACGGACGCGCCATTCGCGCGGACCGCGCAGCGCTCCCCGCAGCGAGCAGGGTGCCGCCACCTGTCGGCGGGCGGGCGAAGCACAGCGTCACGGCCTCCAGGATCTCGTGTGAGTGTGAGCCAGGTGTGAGCAAAAGGTGGCAACACTGATCGAGCGGAAGTTCCGTTCCGCCGCCAGCCGCCATCATGCAGATGCAGCCAGCCACTTCACTTGCGACTTCAGACCTGTCCACATCGTCCATGAGAGAATGGCTTCGTTACTACTTCATGCATAGTCTTTGCTCTGAGACCACGCACTGAGGTGAGACATATTATCCTTATCCTTGGCTGTAATTCTTTTCGCTGATATTTCCTCTCCGGGTCGATGCCGTATCGCCCTTTACTTGCGCGTGACGGTCTCTCGCTGCCTTGCCGGTGGAGTGAGAGGCGCGACCGAGCCTCTTGCCACGAGATTTCCTTTTCGGCCATCATGATGTTGTACTTACCGCCCCAGTCCTAGGTCCGTGAGGATTGGTTTTCTTTCTGAAGGTCTATGAAATGGATTTCTCTGGCGTGTATCGCACATGGCACTGGGCCGCGGACCGGTACCACGAGATCCACACGTGGTCTTAGAGAGGTTAGGTGCTTGCCAACCTCCTCCTGCGTCGGTCCCCTGGGCAGCCCCGTGGGCCGAGGGTTTTGAATGTGTCTTGATTTCGGCTGGCAGCAATACGGCGTTCTCGTCTTTCTCGAGTCCACATTGTGCGTGTTCCACTTTGACTGGGCCGTGCTCAGTGGCAGACTTTGTTTCCCCTCCATGCATTGGCTGTGATGTTTCCAAATGTCTCGTTCGGATGACATGCAGTGATTTCAACTTTCGCAAATTGCTGAGCCATCTCGGTCAGAACATTGTGCTGCGTCGTCCAGGCACTGCTCGGTACTTGCGGGCAGGGTTTGCACTAGCTGTGATGCGTTTTATTGTCTCGTTCGGATGAAATTGAGTGATTTCAACCATCGCAAATTCCTGAGCTTTAAGTCAAACACACTTATCCAGTTGTTTTGCTGATGATGCTTTGTAAGCATATGTCTGATGTGACAGCTTGAATATTTTATTCAAACAAAGTCTTCTCTGGTGAATTCAAACCTGAAGCAGTCTGTTATTGGGTTGAATGATTTGCGTGTTTTTAACTTTGCTTTGTTTACTGTCCCCAATTAATAATTTGTCTTGTCTGTTGCAGCTTGCGGTTCCATCTCATCAAACGTTTCTGGCCTCAGGTAAGACGCGTAGCCTTTAAAACCGCCTCTTTTGGTCTCTAAATCACGTTCATTTGTTTTTTGTGGTGACTTTTTACTATGGGTTACTCTGGGAGACACTCAATAGTATTTATTTAGAAATTGATTTTTCTAGTTTAACTGGCTTATGATGTTTACGAAGCATATGTCTGAAAGTCTTTTGACTTCCATTTTGCTGACAAAATAACCCTGAAGCTATGTTTTACAAAGCTTTCGAGAACAGCAAGAAATTGTTCCAAGGGCAATTAATCTGAGTTAAAATCTCACTAGTGTTGATTGCATTCTGTGATGACTTTATACCACGACGAGTGATGTGCAGCTGAGGGTTTTCCTTGGTCTGTACTCATTTGTGAAGAAAAACGAGGCATTTGTCTGAGACTGCTTGGGTTTGTTGACCTGTTTAGTCCATTGTTTGCTACCAAGAGAAATCACTACTAGCTTTCTTCCATTTTCTGATGCTTTTCTGGCGTCAAGGTCTATCATTGGCAACTGTTTATGATGATCATTGTTCTTAGGACACCTTTAGAGCCATAATGATAAGAAATTAAAACACGTTATTCGATTTTTTCTGATGCAGTTGCCTTTGTCTGACTTGAAATGTCAGTGATAAGTCGGGAATTTCATTTGTGTTGTAATCCGTGACACACTCCTTGCTGATAAATTTCTGATCTGAGGTCTTCTTTTTGGTAACTGTTAATGATGATCTTTGTTCTTAGGACACCTTTAGAGCCATAATGATAAAAACTCAAACTACGTTATTCGCTTTTTTCTGATGCAGTTACCTTTGTCTTTTGTTCGTATCATGACTTGAGTGATTTCATGATGATTTTAGTTATCCCTGTCATACAGTCCTTGATGACACACAATTTCTGATTTTCACTTAACACAGTCAGTTTTGCTTGCTTTTATTTAATTTTCTGTCTGCCTATTAGTTGCTGCATATGTCCCTATTATGAAGTGCAAGTCCTATTTGTGAGAGGATTAGAGCAACTTTTCTCTTTGTGATGACTTTATACCCTAATGAGAAGTATTTGTCTGAGGGTTCTCCTTAGGCAATACTGATTCATGATATTAACGAGGCATTTGTCTGAAAGTACTTTGTTTAATATTCGTGGCTATCTTTAGTTAATGTAGGAACTGAATCACAGGATGCCCTTTTAAGACCTGTTTCATAAAAGTGAAATTTCTGATGCCTGTTTATATCTTTGGTAACTGTTCATGATGATTTTTGTTCTTAGGACACCTTTAGAGCCATAATGATAAAAACTCAATCTACGTTATTCGCTATTTTCTGATGCAGTTACCTTTGTCTGATTCTAAAAGTTTGACTCAAGTGGGGAATTTTATGATGATTTTAGTTATCCCTGTCATATGTTTCTTGATGACATGCTTGATGCTATTTCCACACCGTCATATTTTGACATTATTGCCAATACTCTCTTTAACCTTGCCCGTTTTGTTTTGTTGTAGGTTGCTCTGCTGAGTTCCACTGCTGCTTCACTTCATTGCTATTAGGTAAGAACATCTTGGTTCTCACCCCTTAGCATGCACACTCCTTAGATCCGCCTCCGGGGTTCATTGTTCTTAGGAGCAATGGTCCCACTGACTTTACCGGTTGGATATCGGTGGTGAATGAGTCATAAGTGTGCTAGAGAATTAACTTGCAGTTCTGGACATGTTGTAGAATCTATAATTCTATGTAATCCAGTTGGGCGAACACCGTTAGTTTATGTACATCTGTCCGATGTGTAAGTGTCCTTGTATTTATACTGAGCTCTTTTGTTGCAGGTATGTGCTGTTTTTATCACGTCACAGCCATCAATCAACACTTGTCTTGCTGTATTGTATTGAACTGGTTGAACAATAAAACACAAACCACTTAGTTTGTCATTTCTTATTTCCCTTTATTTACCTAGCTCGAAACTTCTCACAGCTTCAGAGGCTGAAAAGTTTTTTGAATGGCTGTCTGCTGTACTGCAATGTCATAGCATTATAAACGTGACAATTCCTACTAAACACTCCGACAGTACAAGCGCGGGGGCTAAGACATGAGAGCCTCAGAATCTCGCTAAGACAAATTGGGGTATGCTTGAAGCTTACGGTGGGTGATTTTTCTATCGTTCCCGCCGGAGACATTCAGCCCCTTGAGGTTGGCTGTACCGAGTGAACATCAGCGCATCGACAGACGTAGTTCGTCACGGCGCCGTTAGGAGGCGTGGCGCTAGTGTGCCTGGCGAAGGGGGAGGGGACGGACGAGCAGAGCTCGGGGACGGGGAGGAGAAGCTCGAGCAGTAGCGGTTGTGTATTTGTTTATGTCGTGTCAAAATCTCGTGACTGAGGGCCCCAACGGTGCGGGTACCTCTGGTTTGCTCTGCGGCCGAAAATGCTTTCCTTGGTGCTCGCGCGGCGCTGAGGAGTCTCTTTGCGCGTCGTTGCGAGGCCTTAACACCGCGTAGTGGGAAACATAGCCTCACAGACTTTTCACCAATTTTGTGCTGTGATCTCGTGCGGATTTTCGTGCCGGTTGTGTGACCTGCAAGTGTGCTTGGAATTGAGAATGCCGGCACGTCAACGTTGAAGGACCGAAGAGGACTCCCCTAGCTGAGCCATTCGCCTGCTATTCACCCACTGCAGTGTTGACTGTCAAAAGAATGACATTTATTCTTTTCTTCAGTGTTCTGTGTGGCAAGAAGCCAGAAGAAAGGAACTGTTTTGAATAGATCTTTTTACAGCAAGATGTACTGAAAATAATTCAAGTTTTATTTATCAGTGAACCAGTGGAAAACCTAGTATCCACAATGGCTGATTTAGCTGCAGTTGGATACGGGCGCTCGGGTATTTTAGAAACCCATGTACGAGGACAATGGTATCGGGTGTTTGTGACCCTTGAAGATGACTATCTGAGCATAAGTTTAGATGAGAGCTACGAGAACTCAACTTCTCTAAATGGAACCCTGAACAATAATAACAACAATCTAGACTCAACAGGCGGGGTAATGGACAATGTCGATGTTCCTGACTCGGTTGCAAATCAGAAGCGCATTGTACGAGTGGTCAAATCAGATAACAATGGGCTTGGAATATCTATCAAAGGAGGCAAAGAAAACAAAATGCCTATTCTTATCTCAAAAATATTCAAAGGAATGGCTGCAGACCAAACAGAACAGTTATATGTAGGGGATGCTATCCTTGCTGTCAATGGTGAAGATCTGCGAGAGGCTACACACGATGAAGCAGTGAAGGCCCTGAAGCGAGCAGGGAAGGTCGTGGAACTTGAAGGTGAGTCAAACCTCTTCTTTATTTTAATCTGCGCTAATTACATTAATGCAAAATTCAGCTAATACTTAGCAGGTTGAAAAGGCTGCTTTAACATTTACACATGTAAGCAAGATAATTGACAGTTCCCTTTCTTTGTCGTCCGTTAAGTAGATTCTATCACACACCCTTGCCAAAGTGCTTTTAAGGGACTCGTCACAACATAATTTCGCAATGAATGCATTTATACGGTTCTTTCATTAGATTTTATTGAATCTTTCGGAGGGTGGCATCTTTTTTTGGCCTGTTTTTCAGGATCCTAACTGATCCTAACTGAGTTGGATTCGCCATAGGGATATCCCCTTCGAAGGGACGAGGGGAGGGAGGGATTCTCGGTCTCCTGGTGGTGCTGGCGCTGCCCTAGTGCTGCCTAGTGCTGCCTAGCGCTGCCTAGCGCTGTGGTGCGGCGCCACATGTGGCCGACCGGCCGACCAGAAGGCCTGCCCTGGCCATGTGTGGCATGTGTGCCGAGTCGTGCCGTGCATGGAGCTTGGAGCACGGAACTAGGATGCCTGTGGGCGGTAGCGCGGCGCGGCGCGGCGCGGCGGGGCGTAGCGGTCTCTGTCATTGCTGTTCCCCCTCCCCTCCCCCTGTGCCCCTTTCGCGTCGCGTCGTCGCGGCGCGGGGAACGCATTCATTTCCTCTGCAGGCGTGTCTTTCTTCGGGACTTGAGGGGGCCTGCCACCCAGCCAGGCAGTCGGGGCTGGGACAAGGAATTAAGAGTTTGTTGCAGTGTGAGAGACGCGACGCCGCGACGCTGCGCCATTCGTCGGATGCCAGGGCCCCCAGTCCAAGGCGCAATCAAGACGCACTGCTCCGAGCGGGGCGGGGAGCGGGGGGCCTCGAGCGTGGTCGTGCCGATGCTGGGCTTCGCGCTTGCCCTACTAGGCCGTGCCAAACGGTCTGGTCCTAGATCCAAGGGGAACAGGGCTGGGAGTCGGAAACGTCTAGTAAAGCAAGGCAAGCTGGGTAATGGGTACCGCTGTACCGAGGACGGGTGGCCCGCGACCCCTACCGGAACGCTCGCTGAACCGGCCCTGAGTGCGGCACGGCGGGTGCGGCCCGCTGCAGTGGAAACCAACTCCCTCCTGATGAGTTCCGGCTGGCAACACGCTGGCCTGTTGTTTTGGCGTCCGAAATCCCGTCCGACGCCAGGATGAAACGCAATCCCGCTTTTCGCGATGGAGGCGGGAAAGTGCCAAAGCGGCCATGCTAATGGCTAGTGCAAGTGCAGTGCTGGTTTTGTTTGGTCTGAGAGCGGGAGCCGCAAAGCAGTTCGCTTAGCGCGGCTTAGCGTGCGGCCAGCGCGGCCAGCGCGGCCAGCGCGGCCAGCGCGGGGCGGGGCCCAATGAATGCCCCGCAACAAGTCCACTGTCAAAAAAATCTTGAAAACTCCCGGACAACTTGTTGGGAAAAACTTAGTTTTAGGAAAAAAGATTGCCTCCTATCTTCGGAAAATGCCAAAACCTCAAATGTTCGAAGGTAAGCCTGTAATGCATGGAAAAAAATTGTCTTTTTTTTTAAGGTGCCTTCGGAAACTTCCGACGGAGCTTCAAAACGCACTTTTGGCGATTTTGCCAATTTGTTTTTAAACGGTGTCTACCATTACGTCGCAAAATTGCGGCTCCGAGCTCCCCAGAAGCCCGCCAGAGGCACCCCGTTCCTGTTCCCTTGTTTGTTTGTCCGAGATTCAACATCAGCCACGGGAAGCTCTTCTTGCGCCTCGAATTTGTTTTTCTTCCTCCCTTCCTTCCTCGAGGCGGGGACGAGACCGTGAGACCTGACGAGGAGAGGAATTTAATAATGGCACCCCTACAGGGTTGCACCGCGCCAAAGCGAAGCAGTGAAGCAGCGAGGCGGCGCACCCTAACTGACGCTCTCCAACGCTTTGCAAGCTAGTGGAGGCAACCGCAGCCCGCCCATCCGCACCGCACCGCTGCCTTGGTCGTGGGCCGTGCTGGAGGCGTCGGCCACGTTAGCCTAGGACAGGACCCGGCAGCACTTGAGGGCCGCGCGAGGGCTCGGCCCGGGGTGGCTTCCTTGCCTGCTCCGCACGTTGCTGTTTGTGGCCACAAAGTTATGGCCGCTCTAGCAGTCTGCCAAGGGTCAAGTCAGGCGCAGCGAAGGTACCGACCTGAGGACCCAAAGCAAACACTCCGCGCTCGGCGGCCCGGCGCCTATGTGGTGCGTGCGGGGCCGATGCTGGCCTACCCGCCAGGCGCTACAGGCGCGAGGTAGGCCACCGTCTCCACAGCGGTGCGTGCGGGGCCGATGCTGGCCTACCCGCCAGGCGCTACAGGCAGTCGAGCACCGTGGCGTTCGTGACGGTTCTGACGTTGTGGTTTGGCCGCCAAGAGGGGTGTTCGTCACTCGGCGTGTCACGCGACTCTCGCCAACCTGTGGCGCCCGCCCGCCGCGCCGCGCCGCGCCCCGCCCCGCCCCGCCCCGCCCCGCCCCGCCCCGCCCCGCCCCGCCCCGCCCCGCCCCGTCCGGCGACAGCGAGTACGATGGCCTGCCCCTGCCGCCTCAAGCGCCGGCCCGCCCGCCGCCGCCGTCGTGGCGCTCTGCAGACTTGTCCGAGAGTCGTTGCCGCCGCTCCGCCTCTGTCGCACTGATGGAGCGTCCCGCGTAGGTGTGAGAGAGACGCGCAGAATGAGTCTGCTCTCGCTCTCGCCCCGGCTATATTCGGGTCACGAGCCGTTTCAGTGATGACGGCCCACTCTGTCTCCATCTCGCCGGCAGTGTGTCTCGCGTTTGGGAGGGAGAGAGAGAGAGAGAGAGAGACTGTCTGGGGCGCGTTATTTGTCTTGGAAGTGGAGTGCACCCGGCCACCCCGCTGCAGCGGGGGCTTCTTTGCGTACAGTGGCGGTGTGTACTCGCCCTGGGCAGCTCGAGCGGGCCTGGGCAGCGCCAGCAGCACTTTTGGGCTGACTCCGAGAGTCGTTTTCGTCGCTCACAGAATCTCTCGCTCGCGCGGGGCGTCCCGTGTGTGGGTGGGAGAGAGACAGAGTAGCGAAAACGACTCGGAATGGGCCCAAAAGTGGTGCTGGCCTCCTTGCGGGGCTCGCCGCCGCTCGACGCTGTGTGCCTACCTCACGGCTTGCCTCACGGCCACGCGGACGGATGCAGAGTCCCGCGCTCCCAGGTCGGCGACACCCTCGCCCACGACTTCCTGTCCCTTGCGCCCACCCTGCCAGGCCCTGCCGGGCCCTGCCCCGCAGACTGCTTCCGTCGCCTTCCTCGCCGTCTCTCTCGCACTCTCGGGGCGTCCCGTTGGTGCGAGGGAGACAGGAAGCAGGCTGCGGGCCAAGCCCCGCCAAGCCCCGCCAAGCCTCGCCAAGCCCGGCCAAGCCGCAGTCAAAGGGATTCCGGCGCCTCGTTGGGCGCGCTGATTGCGATGACGGAGTGGCCGAGGCGCTGGCCGTGCTGGCCGTGCTGGCGGCGCGCCGAGGATGACCGAGGACTGGCACGGCTCACGGCTCGGCGATTGGATTGGCGACCAGAAAGGCCGCTCTCTCCTTCTAATCGTCACCTCACATTCCTCCGATTTTCGAACTGGAAGTGAGCCGTCAACCTTGCCACCGAAACGCGATGCCACCGTTTTCTTCGTTTTGTTTGTTTGTTTTTGTTTGGGTTCGGTCCGCGTGCCGGACTGCCGGCCAGGACTGCCAGCCAAGACTGGCTCCTCAGCTCTTTCGCCGATTGCTTTGCCTGCGAATGTCTTGATCAGACCGCCGCGCCAGCCTGGCCGGCACACTGGCACACTGCGCGCCGCGACTCCCGACTCTCTCGGCCCCTTGGCGAGGTGAATAGGGTTTTTCTTGTAGGGCTCGGAAGAGGAAGGCTGCTGCAGGTCGCGGCACTGACAGTCAATGCCGTCCGTCGAAGGGCGATTGAAGCCTCGAGTAATGGAAAAGCTACAAGCTGGTGACGTTGCGCCGTAGTCTGTTTGCTCCCGCCTGGCCTGGCCGTGTCATTAGCGGAGCGACCCCCCGCCCCGCCCCGCCCCGCCCCGCCCCGCCCCGCCCCGCCCCGCCCCACCCCGCCCCGCCCCGCCCCGCCCCGCCCCGCCCCGCCCCGCTCCCGGGAGGCGACCCCTTCTCTTTCCTTTCATCCGTTTTCTTTGCGCTCTCTGTGTAATGAAAATGTATGGCTCGGCAACGAGTGACGGCCCGCCAGCCCGCTCCGCCTCGTCTTCGACTTGTTGGACTTGTTGCTGCTTTGACGGCTCGATGGCTGTGACGGCCGGGGCCGGGGCAGGGCCGGGGCAGGGCCGGGGCAGGGCCGGGGCAGGGCCGGGGCAGGGCCGGGGCCGCGTAACCCTCGCCCTCCGAACATCGCCGTGATTTGATTTGTTTGCTTCTCCTTTCGCTGGCGCCGTGTGCGCCGTGTGCTTCGTGCTCGCAGTACTGTACGTGGCGCTGCACCTACACGAGTACACAGCTGGCGTGTGCGCACACACACACACACACATACACACACCTGCGAGCGGCGCGGAAAGTACTCCAAGCGCTGCGCGTGCTGTGCGGCCCAGAGAGGACGGACGGACTTGGTTGGAAATGGTAGCGGCCTGTCGGGCCTGCTGGGACGGCTCCGAACTCGCACCGAGCACCCCGACAGGCCGACAGTCGAACTGTCGTCACGCAGCCGAGTCCCAGGGGCGGATCCAGAGACGGGCTCAGTTGCCCACTTACAAAGCGCGGTTTGGTTGCCTATCTTTTAGGCGTCGTCGTCGGCGCCTCCAAGGGAAAAGCGGGAGGGGACGCCTACACTGTTGGGTATAAATGTACTGTAACAACGCAAAAACTGACAAACAAACGTGTTTGATTACATTTTTAAAAAAATGAAAATGTCATCAAAATATGGCAGTGGTAAAACTAGGTCGAGTATTTTTTTTCTGGTCCAAAACGTGTATTAGTCATGCACCACGTGTGGACGTAGTGCACACCGAGCGCACCGCCCCT